CATAAAAGTAGTGCAGAATGATGAGAATATCAGCTTGGAGGGTTCAGGGTATCTCATAGTTGAGCAGTCTCGACTAGAGTCTTCTTACTTGTTTCTTCATGAAATCCAGATGTTTTAGAACTACTTTAACATAAAAAGCAAAAACAAAAAACAAATAAAAATTCAAGATTTTTCTAGCGTCTTTAAAGTGATTTTAAGGAATGAATATAGAATCTAGTTTGTAGTTTATATTGGTAATCTAATAATCAGTAATCAGGTTGCTTTTCTCATATATTTGCTACTCGATGCCATAGCTCAAGGGAATCAATCCATCCATAAATCCGTCCGATTCGTGAATTGCCTCGCTTGCTTTGTAGCTGCTTCATAGTTCGTTAAAACGTCAGATATTTCAAAAATTCATTCAAATTGCAGTTTTTCCCCATTTTTGTTTCTCCCAATCGAGCCTTACATTCAAATTCGTGCAAGAAAAGTCATGACAATCGTGTGGCAAGCTACTGTGTGGTCCAGGCGCTGATACAATTGTCTACTTGCAGGCGACAGGAATCAATGTACCAGATGACAGGCCTCTATTCGGAGACGAACAGCGGCGACGAGAGCAGCATAGATGCCACCCAGGAGAGCTCGCATGTGGGCGACTTGTCCAAGCCGGCCAAGGCGACGCTGGCGGCCGCATCGACGATCGCCATGGATAATGCCGTCCTCAAGTGCCACAGTCGACAGCCGTCGGCAGCGGCTGCTGCGGCTGCTGCGGCTGCTGCTGCAGCCAGCAAATGCAGCAATGCCGATCACCAGCGCGACGACGACGAGGATGAGGAGCAGTTTCGTTCGAGGGATTGCGGCATATTGAATTGCCGGCCGTATGGCATTCAGAGATTCGCCAGGATCAAGATATTCGTGCTGCTGCTGTCGCTGCTGGTGATGATGCAGCAGGCGCTGAGCTCGGGCTACATCAACTCGGTGATCACCACCATTGAGAAGCGTTTCGAGATCCCCTCCAGCTATTCGGGCCTCATCGCCTCCAGCTACGAGATCGGCAACGTGATAACCGTCATATTCGTCAGCTACCTGGGCAGCCGGCGACACATACCCGTCTGGATTGGCATCGGCGCCGTAATCATGGGCATCGGCTCGCTGGTGTTCATGGTGCCGCACTTTACGGGCGAGCAGAATCCGGGCATTGCGATCATGAACAAGACCAGCGACAACATTTGCCGCAGCGCCTTGGTGCGGGACCAGGACATGGATCTGGGCAGACTCTCCAGCGGGCTCTCCCATCAGCCCCTGGCGCCGCACACGCTGCGCGAGGACAACTGCCTGGAGGGCAAGGCCTCCACCACTGGGCCCGTTCTCCTCTTTGTGCTCGCCCAGCTGCTGCTCGGCTGCGGGGGCAGTCCGCTCTTCACGCTGGGCACCACCTATGTGGACGATCACGTGCGCACCGAGAGCTCCTCCATGTACATCGGCTGCATGTACAGCATGGCGGCTTTCGGACCGGTCGTTGGCTTCCTGCTTGGCGCCTACCTGCTCTCCTTCCACATGGACTCGCTCTCGTCCACCATCATATCCATAAGTGAGTAAATCCTATATAAATGATATGTACTAGAGTCCTAATCCAATCTTTGATCTATTTCGCTGCAGCGCCTGGGGATCGTCGCTGGGTGGGCATGTGGTGGGGCGGCTTTCTGCTCTGCGGCGTGATACTGCTCGTGGTCGCTGTTCCGTTCTTCTCCTTTCCCAAGGTGCTGACGCGCGAGAAGAAGAAGATACGCAAGAGCAGCGTGGTGCAGCTGACGTTGCCGAACAACTCGGGCGCTGTCGCCACGGATGAGTTGGGCAAGGTGAAGAAGGAGATTGTGGCGGTGACGACCAAAGAGGAGGAGACGCATTCGCCGCCCAAGGTGGACACCGGCTATGGCAAGGACATCAAGGATATACCGCAGTCCATGCTGCGCCTGGTCAAGAATCCCGTCTACATCGTCACCTGCCTCGGCGCTTGCATGGAGCTGATGATTGTCTCCGGCTTTGTCGTGTTTCTGCCGAAATATCTGGAGACGCAGTTCAGCCTGGGCAAGAGCCAGGCGAACATATTCACCGGCTCGATCGCAGTGCCTGGTGCCTGCATTGGCATCTTCATCGGTGGCTGCGTGCTGAAGCGTTTCCAGCTCAAGCCAAAAGGCGCCGTGCAGTTCGTGCTCATCACGAACGTCATCTGCCTGGCCTGCTATGCGATGCTGTTCTTCTTGGGCTGCGACAACCTGAAGATGGCCGGCACCACGATACCCTACTACACCAAGCACGGCTCGACGCTGGACCAGCCGTTCCAGGTGAATCTGACGGCCGCCTGCAACTTCGGCTGCGAGTGCCTGACCAGTGAGGTGGAGCCTGTTTGCGGCAACAATGGCCTGACCTACTTCAGTCCCTGCCACGCCGGCTGCACCGCCTTCTCGTCCAGCTCCAACTACACCAACTGTGCCTGTGCGTATGCCTCGTCTGCTAAAGTTCCTCAATCTCACTCCCTTCTTCCCTTCTCCTCTTCTCGCAGGTGTTCACGCCAACATTTCGAGCAGCATTTATCGGGGCGCTGGCGGCAGCCAGGCTCAGGCATTGAGTGCCAACGAGGACTTTGCTGAGGTCACTGTCGTGCCGGTGGCCACAGCTGGGCCGTGCGCCACGCCCTGCCGCACCATCTACCCCTTCCTCATACTGCTGTTCTTCATGACATTCATAGTGGCGTCCACGCAGATGCCTCTGCTAATGATTGTGCTGCGCTCCGTGTCCGAGGAGGAGCGCTCCTTTGCCCTGGGCATGCAGTTCGTGATATTCCGCCTATTCGGCTATATACCAGCGCCCATTGTCTTTGGCAATCTCATCGACTCCACGTGTCTCTTGTGGAAGTCGTCGTGTGGCGAGAAGGGCGGCCGTTGTCTCATCTATGATATCGAGAAGTTTCGTTACAAGTAAGCGCTCATCAGCTCAGCATACCCGACTCTCCGCTAATATACCCCTCCTGCCCCTCAGATATGTGGGTCTGTGTGCGTCCGTTAAGCTAGTCGCCCTGTTTATCTTCATTGTGGACTGGTGGCTCGTGCGCAGGCGCAAGCAGCTCGAGAAAATGAAGCCACTGAATGCCAGCGATCCCATCATCGGATCCATCATCAGTTTGGACAAACGTAAGTACATCCACAATCCCTTCGAAATATTAACAAATGTTTTTTCTTCTGCTTGCAGTATTCGAGGAGAAGCTGACGGCCGGGGATGCGAGCACTGGATTCGTGGCAGGCAACGGCGAGCTGATTATCCCAACTGAGATATTGCGGCACTCGCGCAACGAATCGCGCAACGACTCGCGCACCCTGCAGCTGGAATACTGGTAAGCTATGGCTATGCTTTGCTACTGCCGCAACTAATTGGAACTGTTTGCAGCTACGACAAGTGTGGACATGTGGTGCCAGCAGCAAACAGCTGCCATGTGCCGCAGACCAAGTCGAAGAAGCACTTCCGCAGCGCCTCGTGCGATGTGAAGATGATCAAGAGCTTTGCCAAGGACCACAATGTGGCAAGCAGCGCTGCGGATGCCGTTGGCAATAAGTTCACGAATCTGAAGAAGCTGCAGTCGCACACACGTAATCACTCCACTGATCTGAATCCACATGATGTGCGCCACAAGACGTTGCGCGACGATCCGTCGCTGCCCATACGCTTCATACAAAACCAGCTGCGACCGCAGGAGTACGCCGAGGAGGATGACGACGACGAGCTAACCACGGGCTGTGGCCATTTCGTGAAGAAGCACTCGCGCAACCACAGCTACGACCAGATCTATATGCCCAACAATATTCGCTTCGACGCGGACTTCCTGCGCCATCCGCACTCACATCACAGCAATCCCAAGAAGAATGTCAATGTGCTGAAGAACGTGGTGGCTGATGCCGGCAAGGTGAAGAACTCCAATGAGGTGGAGGGTAGCAGTGGATCGCGCTGCCACTCGCGGACCAATTCGAAGGATCTGAACAGCCAAGTGGCCGTACCCGAGTCATCATCGAGTGGTCTCAGTATTTTGCGTCATCGTCGCTCCAATTCAAAAGATCTTAACTACAGCATCCTGCCCTCTGGCAGCAACGTAGAAGCTCCAGCAGTAGCACCGACTAATGCCCATGGCACGGCTGGCCCACTGAATCGAGCAACACAACAGCAGCAACAACAGCAGCAGCAGCACACACGAAATACGTCGCATCACAAGATTCAGATCGACGACGATCGCAACGAGCTAATTGACGATAACGATGAGGAGGAGGAGTCGAACTCGATTCGCTTGTAGTGGCGATAGTTCAACATGTTCCTGTGCATGTAGTCCAGCAATCTCAACAACTGTCGCACATAGCCTTAAGCTGATTCGGCTTGAGCGGAGACGGAGACGGAGATGGAGACGCCTGCAGAGCTCCGCTAGCATTCCAGGCGTGCCTCCAATGTGTCAACAACCCTATGTGTCTGACTTTATGATTTCCTTAAGAGCTGAAACCAGCTAATGTACTTGTACTTACAACCAAGTGTTCAATTGTACTTTCCTTGTAGATAACACGTAAATAATCTTTTATACAATGTTTCAAAACGGTTCACAGAAGTTCACATTTGGAGCGTTGCAACAATATTTATAATTAGTTTATTTATTGTATAAGCATATTGTAGATTCGTATTGTAGTCTTAGCTCCTTGTGATAGGCATATTTTATACTGTATACGTACCATTTACATTTTAAGAGCTAATTGACTGTTGTTCCTCCAGAGTCGACGTAACAGTTAATCAATAGTTTATCGCAATGTGAATGCATGAATTATCTTCTATAGAAGGAACCAACTCAGCTGAGTTCAATCGGACAGACATGTCGCCAGCTGCCAAAGTTACAAGTCGAAGTCATGTTTGACGTCATGATGAGAGACCCTAAAAGAGCATACCTACTACTATATTAAATTCCAGACTATTATTAGATCGATGTAAACTGCTAAAGATTTTGTATCTTTGATCCCTAAAGCTTTTACATTGTTCAAATCTCGGTTTCGAAATGCGAAATGCGAAATTTTTAATGTGCAAACATTTTGACTGCGTCCCTTACAAGCCTAGAGAAATCAATAGAAAATTTTGAAAATACAGCTGAACTAATATAATAATATCAATATTTTAACAATTGTCAATGGAAATTGTGCTGTGAAACGATGTGTGAGTAATGCAAATAAAACGTAATAATAATAATTAACACAATGATTGTTGTTGAAAAAGCAAAACAAACGCAATTAATAGAATATAATACAAGTAAATTAACTACAAGAATACAATATACATATATATTTTGTGTGTACATATTGTGCAAAATTCTATAAGGAACTCATATCAGAGCGAAATACAGAGAGGAAATAAAATTAAGCTCGAGTCACACATAGAATGCGAATATATTTTAAAGCGCTCCACGAGCGAATAGATCGAATTCCTTAATTTCATGTTTTCAAATAATCGATTGGAGCCACATTTTAATACAGAGAGAGTGTCGTACTTTAGCGATAATGCCTTAAATATATCAATTAATTATACACTAAATAAGTGCATATATAGAGTAAGTCAGTAAGTTAGCATACACATAGTTAGTATCTGTTTAGGAAGGTATAGCTAGTATCTGTTGGATACTTATTGGACAGTTGCATCTGTTTATTGACGGATTGTCAAAGCTTTCACATTGCAATCGTGTGATCCCCCAATCGACTTGCTGCTCTATTCAATTATTTACGAACATATATAGAATACAACTAAAGTTTACACCAACACCAAACCGGAAGTCACATTAATACAAATCGAGCACATTTGCCCCTATCCCCGCTGTAGCAAACCTCACGTGCTCCACAATAGATATGCAATTATACAAAGATATATGATATGATATGATGTATGTAAAATGTACAATTAGAAATGGATTTTATGAAACACACAGTTTAGCTGCGTAACTCGATATTAGGTGCGAGCAAATTCAACAATAATCAATAATTATTTAGCACATTAAGAAATGCATATTTTATTTTAGTGAAAATATTGAATTACCAATATGAATTAAATGAAAACATGAGACTATACAAACAACATAAATAATAAATGTACTAGACAAATGCAATTGTGTGTTTTATTTAACCTTCAGTTTTATATTCAACCTACTACTAATTTCTGTTAAAGTATTAACTTGTTTAATATTCAAGTATCAACAGTCAAAATCAGTATTTTGGTTCACCCTAATGCAGCTAATACAAGAACCCAAGCAAAGACGAGCTTTTGCTCAGCGAGCTTTCAAAATGGGGTTGTTGAAGTTGTTAAACTGGTGTGCAGTTAAATCCAATTGGAGTTTCTATAGATATTATAAGATATTAGAAGACTATTCTACATATTGTTTTTATTTCGCTAAAAACTTGATTGCATTGCAAGAAATTTACTTTTTGTTTTTGCTGATATGGCAACAGTATATGGCAATGAGTTGATAGCTTATCTTATTTGAAATTGACTGATAAGACTTGGGAAACTTCTGACTAAGCGAAACAGTTGAAAACAGTTCAGTTGTTGGCAACATGGAGCGACCAGGCTCATCCGCAATGCAAATGATTTATGCAGAGCTCGCAGCAGGTGCGTATACTTAATGCCAATCAGAACGTGCTCTAAATTGGATTCCAGTTAAAGCGCAGAATACGCGCTTGGAAGAAGAGAACATACTGCTGCGACACAGGCTGAACCGCTTCTCCACAGACCAGCACACGAGCGCCACAGTGAATGTGGAGGCCAAGATCAGAGCATTTCAATTGGAAGAGGAGCGCGATCGGTTGGTGGAGACCCTGCAGATGCACAAGAAGAAATACAATAAGCTGCAGGATGCATATCTGGAGAAGGTGAAACGCTGCAAAGCGCTGGAGGAGATGTTCAAACGGCAAAAGACACTCACGGGTCTGGTAATGAAATCAGCAGTAGCTCAGCGCGAGTCAGGTGAGAATGAAAGACGAATATATGATCTTCATATGTATGTGCATATATCTAAGACCGAGTCCCATTGGAACAGAACAACAAATGATGCTTGAGAAGCGTATGTCACAGCAGAACAAAAACAGCTCAGCGGAAGTGGAGCAGCTGCAGGTGAAGTTAGCCAAGATGCAAGCGGCGCTAGATGAGTCCTATGACATTATTGATGAAATGGACTTTGAATTGGAAAGCGTAATTAAAATCTACTTGTTAAAAAGATTTACAGCTTCATATAAGCCTTTGTACACACAGGTCGACTTGCTGGAGATGCAGAATAAGAGTTTGCGCGAAGAGTTGGCAGCGCTCAAGGCGCAACTGGAGGCGAGTGCAGCACAAGCAGCCTCAGCTCCAGCAGACGATGATGATCCACCGCCCAAGTACGAACCCACCGACCAGGCGTGTCGCAATTATCGGCAGCATGTGGCCTCGTCCACCTGTGACTGCTGTCTGAAGGATGACGACGCCGATGCTGAATCACTGGAACGCGCTGCAATGACACAAAGCGTAAGTCACATCAAACAAACAAATAATTATTGCTTGATAACGATCATCGATTCCCATTGCAGCTCGTCGAGACTGTAGAAGCCGAAAGCAATTCGCTGCGACGCGAGCTTTTGCGTTCGCGCTTACAGCACAAAATACGCACCAAATTGGAAAAAGAGCAAGAGGAGGAAGATTAGAGTCGGATACTCCAATTGGAATTGAATTGCCGCTGGAACTGCTGACACAAGCTGAATGCTACAGCGAAAATGCTGTAAATGAAGTGGAAGTGGATAACTGCTGATGACACAGGCTGCCTGCTATAAATGTCATGAAAGGGAAGAGATAATTTAACATTATTAAAATTATATATTATAATATTGTACTCTATTCAGTAATTGTATATAACGAATTTTTACTTTTTAAGAAATATATATATGTAGTTTGTACATCTGTAAAAACTCCAATTGATATTCTCGTTTCACCTCTATTTTCAAAGAGAACTCTCAGCATTAATCAAAACTCTTTCATAATCAATAACATTGCAATCCAGTCTTTGGGCCCAGTCGACAAGTGCAGCTAGACAAAAATGCGGGCATGCAAAATGCGATCTTATTTTGCACTTAGTTTTTTATTTTAATTTTATATTGGGTATGTTTAACCCAGTTTGGGACAACTAACGCCTGCCGCGCACAAGTGCACATGCCACAATTTGCAAACGCAAGCTGGAAAATTAATAAAAAATGTAACAAAAATTTAGAGTATTGAAAATGAGATAACCTGAATTTTAAGGCATCAAATAAGACAAATGCCGCCATCTTATGGCGATTAATTAAAATATTTGTTAATGACATCAAACGAGTTATTTCCACCTTAATTAGCCATCTCCCGGGAACACTATATAGCCAAAGGCGACGACGGCACATGCCACATATCATGTACTAAATTTTTACCATGTTTATTTAGATCATATATTACGTAAATTATTCAAAAAGAAACAAATAATTAGCTCTTGTTCCACTATATTGGGTTGGGTTTCTTGATTGGAATTTTAATGTTCATAAATTGAGCAGAACACTTTATGCCAGCTCAGATTAGCATTTGATTCAAGAGACAAAATAGAGCCGAATTGAAATAATAAAAAATGCATTAGATCAAATTTGCCGGCTTCTTAATGATTTGTCAGTATATACTCTTATTGAGAGTATTATACATTTTGAGTCTAAGAGGTGATCTACAGTAGGTGATTTTTGATAAATATATGTATGAAATTAATTCATGCTTTGAATATGAGCAACTAATGTACAGTACAGTATCTTATATTTTTGTCATTCTGAATGTTTATACACATGTATTACATACATTAATATCTACTCTTCAAACTAATCCATCAATTAAATAATTATCATGTAATTTTTGATTTGAATTTATTTTTTATTAAGCGGACAATCTATGGATTCATATAAATCCTATACAGATAAAGAGAAATAAAGAGACTATTTGAAATGCACAAGATAATTTTGTATTTATTACAATATTATAACAATATTAAAATTTAAATTCTATACTGAAGAACCACTAATTTAATAATTTGAATTAACCACTAAGAGATTTTCATGAACTCTGAGTTCATTTCATTTAAGATTATTTAAGTATTTATCATTCTTCAATAATATGGTTTTTCTTCTATATAGATATTTAATAAATAATAAGACTTATAAACAAATGTAATTCATCCTATAAACCTTCTTTGACCAAAATCTGATTGGGTATGTGCCTCGCTTGCTTTTTCTGATTTTCTTCTCCAATTGGAAGCAATGCGTGTGGTTGTGTTAGTCGAGTGAGCACTTTGCGTATTTCGTGTTTTATAATTTGTATTTATTTTGTTTTTTTACTCGTGGTTCGGCTAATGAGCGCGCTGCTTGATTTTGGGAGCCATTGGAAAGATTCGGACACAGATTGCCTCACACCCAGTGAGACGAGGTGGGAGCTGGAGTGCGAGATTGAGACGTTGCGGCTGTCATGCGTGCGCAGTATAAAAGCGCCGAGGACTTCACAGTTTAATTACAACGATCTCGATCAGCGTCGTGTGCGTACACAGTTCTCGAGTTGAAGCCAAATAGATTCATTCACTTTGCCAATAATGGGAAAAGTAAGTTGGAGCAGTCTTGCTGTATGAAGCACTAGTCCTTACTCGCTATCCTTTAGCTCAGCTATCTGTTCTGCATTTGCCTGACGCTGAGCAGCGTCGCCGTCTGGGCCATTGAGCTGCGCCCGGAGCTGGACTCTGGCCCGGTGGCATACGAGTTCCACTGGCTGGTCAATGATCCGCACACGGGCGACATCAAGAGCCAGAAGGAGACGCGCAAGGACGACAAGGTCGTAGGCCAGTACACGCTCGTCGACTCCGATGGCTACCTGCGCACCGTCGACTACACAGCGGACGATCACAGCGGCTTCAATGCGATCGTGCGCCGCGAGCCAACGGACATCAAGATACCACAGCCCTCGCCGGAGCCCAAGAAACTGATTGCCGCCAAGCTCCTGACACCACTCACTCCCCTCGTCCACTATGCTCCCAAGGCCATACTGAAGTCGGCCGAGCCCTCCGAGGGCAACTATGTGTCCGTATCGGGACCCACGGCCCAATACAAATACTAAATTGTGTTCAAATCACATTTTAGCCAATCGATCATAACTTCGACTACATTCCAATATCACGAACACGAACACGAGCACGAGCACGAGCACGAGCACGAGCCGTCAAGGAATCTGCCAATCTACTCGCATGCGCCAGCCTAATCAATTGCCAATTCATTTTACAAGCCATACTTAAGTTATATACATACATATGTACATATAATTGAACACATTAATTTTTTTTATAGATGCATCGTACATACATACATACATGAAGGAAGGAAGACATACATAAATATACATATATAAATATTGAATTTGTTCTGCAGAAGAACACAAAATAATTGCACTTTTTATTTGTTGCCTGAGCTAAAGCTATAAAAACACTTGGGACTTAGGGTTTTTTTAAAGGGAAATTTTTTAGTTTGAATTTCGGATAAAATCTAAAAAGAAATAGGTTAAGTGAGAACTTAATGGTATTTATTGAAAAGGAATTAGTTTGGTTATTTTTATACACTGAACCCATTGAAAATGGGAAATCAGGGTATAATGGTTTTGTTAAAAGCATGTAACAGGCAAAGGGAGGCGTGGCAGACCCCAGAGAGTATATACATATATTCTTAACCAGGGCGACGAGCTGAGTCGATTTAGACCTGATCAATTCTTCGAAGGGTTCAGGGGATTTCGTAGTCGAACAATCTCGACTAGAGCTTTCTTACTTGTTATTTATATATATACATATATATTTTTTTTTTCTGTAAGCCAACTTCTCTTGAGATTTATTTCTGATTTTGATAATATTTAATTTACATATTTTCCTTACACTCCATATTTACACTCAAGAGAACTAATATATAAGTCATTGATTATATTAATATACCCGTTTTCCGTCGTGAAGGGGTATACACATTTAATTTTAAGCGTTAGAGCACATGATTACACGATTTCTAATGAAAAATGAAAAATTATCGGTCAGCTAAGACGTGTCAATTATGTCCAGCAATTTCCTATTGATAATACATTAGGAAAATTATATACAGATATCGCAAAATAGATATGACCATGTATATATCTCTATATATTTCTTGTGATCTAAATAAAGAAATGATAGCTATTAGAAACACGCACAGATTAGAGGAATACAGGGAAAGCAGCTGAGACAACTCGAGTTTATACAATCTCGATAATCTCAATTGATATTTATTTTTTATGCTTACACATATATAAATGTATATATCTATCTATTCAGCTTTTCATTCAGTTTTGGTTTGCTGAAAAGAAGTTGGAGTGTCTCACAGTTACTCACAGATATGAATTGTAGTGTGTCATCGTTGGATAAGGTTAAATGGAATTGCAAAGATGCTCCGATTAACTAATGCTATCTGCAGACGAGACTCGAGACGAGCAGCCATAGAAGTTGATAATCTCACGTAGCGGACGCGTCATCGTCTCCAGCTCTATTGAGCGGCGCACGTGCACGGGCCAGAGAGGGCGAGTCTTCCATTCGGTGGGTCAGTCTCAGCCGAAAATCCAAATGCAACGATGGATGCCGTCGACTTGGAGCGTTCAGTAGCAAAATGAGCGACGCAGCGCCTACACGACCAGCACGAGTCGCAGTCACCCTGCTGCTAATGCTGCTGTCTCTGCTGGGCTGCACTGCGAGCGAGAAGCCGACGTCGGCGGAGGACACATCGTGGATGGCGCCACTGCAGCAACAGTATGGCTGGGATGCCAGCGAGCTGAGGAACAAGATGCATCAGGGCGACGCGACCACCTACGAGCTGGGCACACCCAACTACCAGATCCTGAATCCGGAGGATGAGCCCGAGTACATAACGGCCGATCAGCCGCACTACCAGGAGATGCTGCGGCGCCTAACCAGCTCCAGCAATGGCAGCCACACGATAGACATGACCATGCCCAGTACCATCTCAAGTGCCAGTGCCTCGGCCGTAGCCTCAGGCTCAGCCTCGGCCTCAGATGAGCCCAAAGAGGTCAAGTGGGAGAAGCTGCAGAAGCGCAGCTTTCATCAACCGGCAGTGGGCA